ATTGAGGCTATTAAGCGCTGGTTTCATCTCAGGTAATTAGGATTTCTACGAAAATGCGGTGGACGCAAAGTGGGTGATCACTGTATTTTTCCCTTCGTTCGGTCCTTTAAATTTACGGTTCCATTCTTCAATTTATCAAAACGGATAGGCAAATCCCTCATCTAGAACATGATCGAAATTATTTTTCATTAGAATTCATGGATTGCGCCTATTAAGCGCTGGTTTCATCTTAGGTAATTAGGATTTCTACGAAAAATGCGGTGGACGCAAAGTGGGTCACCACTGTATTTTTCCCTTCGTTCGGTCCTTTAAATTTACGGTTCCATTCTTCAATTTATCAAAACGGAAAGGCAAATCCCTCATCTAGAACATGATCGAAATTATTTTTTCATTAGAATTCATGGATTGAGGGCTATTAAGCGCTGGTTTCATCTTAGGTAATTAGGATTTCTACGAAAAATGCGGTGGACGCAAAGTGGGTGATCACTGTATATTTCCCTTCGTTCGGTCCTTTAAATTTACGGTTCCATTCTTCAATTTATCAAAACGGATAGGCAAATCCCTCATCTAGAACAAGATCGAAATTATTTTTCATTAGAATTCATGGATTGAGGCTATTAAGCGCTGGTTTCATCTTAGGTAATTAGGTTTCTACGAAAAATGCGGTGGACGCAAAGTGGGTGATCACTGTATTTTCCCTTCGTTCGGTCCTTTAAATTTACGGTTTCCATTCTTCAATTTATCAAAACGGATAGGCAAATCCCTCATCTAGAACATGATCGAAATTATTTTTCATTAGAATTCATGGATTGAGGCTATTAAGCACTGGTTTCATCTTAGGTAATTAGGATTTCTACGAAAAATGCGGTGGACGCAAAGTGGTGATCACTGTATTTTTCCTTCGTTCGGTCCTTTAAATTTACGGTTCCATTCTTCAATTTATCAAAACGGATAGGCAAATCCCTCATCTAGAACATGATCGAAATTATTTTCATTAGAATTCATGGAAAAAAAAATTTTTTTTTTTTTTTTTAAAAAAAAAAAAAATTTTTGGGGGGGGGTTTTTTTTTTACCTTTTTTTTTTTTTTTTTTTTTAAAAAAATTTTTTTCCTTTTAAAATTTTTAAAAAATTTTTTTAAAATTTTTTTTTAAAAAAATTTTTTTTAAAAGGAAAGGAAAAAAAAACCCAAAAAATTTTTCCTTTTTTTTGGGGAAAAAATTTTTTTCCCATTTTTTTTTTTGGGGTTTTTTCCCAAAAATTTAAATTTTTTTAAAAAAAATTTAAAAATTTTTAAATTTTTTTTAAAATTTCAAAAAAAGGGGGAAAAATAAAAAATTTTTTTTTTTGGGTTTTTTAAAAAATTTTTTTTCCTTTAAAACCCCCCTTTTTTTTAAATTTTTTTTAAAATTTTCAAAAAAAAAAAAAGGGGAATTTTTAAATTTTAAAAAAAAAAAAAAAAGGGGGGGGTTTAAAATTTTTCCCCCGGGGTTTTTTTTTTTTTTTAAAAAAAAAAGGGGGCCCTTTTTTTTGCCCTTTTAAAAATTTTTGGAAATTTTAATTTTTTAAAAGGTTTTTTTTTTTAAAAGAAAAAAAATTTTTTTTTGGGATTTTTTTTTTTTTTTTAAAAAAAAAAGGGGGGGAAAAGGGGTTTTAAATTTTTTTTTTTTAAAAAAAAATTTTTTAAAAAGGGGAAAAAACCCTTAAAAGGGGAAATTTTTTTTTTTGGGGGTTTTTTGGCCTTTTTTTTAAAAGGTTTAAAAAAAGGGGGCCCAAAATTTTTTTTTTTTTTGGGGGGAAAATTTTCTTAAAATTTTAAAAAAAAACCCCCAAAAAAAAAAAATTTTTTTTTTTTAAATTTTTTTTAAATTTTCCTTTAAAAATTTTTAAAAAAAAAATTTTTTTAAAAAGGGTGCCCCGGAATTTTTCCCCCCAAAAATTTAGGGGGTTTTTTTAAAAAAAAAAAACCCCCCCCCCTTTTTTTAAATTTTTTCCCTTTTTTTTAAAAAAAAAACCCCCCCTTTAAACCAAAAAAATTTTTTTAAAAAAAAAAGGGGGGGGTTTTTCCGGTTTTTTTTTTGGAAAAAAGGGGGGGAAAATTTTTAAAAAAGGGGGGTTTTTTTTTTAAAAATTTTTTTTAATTTTAAAAAAAGGGGAAAAAAAAAAAAAATTTAAATTTTTAAAAAGGGGGGGGGAAAAAATTTTTTATTTTTTTTTGGGGTTTTAAAATTTTCCCCCTTTTTTCCCCCGGGGAAAAAAATTTTTTTGGCCCTTTTTTTTTTTTAAAAAAAAATTTTTTTAAAAAAGGGTTTTTTAAAAAGGGGTTTTTAAAAAAGGGGGGGTTTTAATTTTTTCCCCCCGGGGGAAAATTTTTTTTTTTTTTTTTTAAAAAAAAAGGGGTTTTTTTAAAAAAAAAAAAATTTTTTCTTTTTCCAAAAAAATTTTTTTTTTTTTGGGGGTTTTGGGTTTTTGGGGAAAGGGGGCCCTTTTTTTTGGGGGCCCCCCTTTTTCCCCAAACAAAAAAATTATAATAAAATGACCAACAATATATTTTTTATAAAAAAATAACACTCAATATAACACTAAAAAATTTAAAAATATATTTTCATAGTAAAATAACAAAATTTCATTTATGATCTTCAAAAATATATCTAAAAAAACATACCTTTATTCTCAAAGTATAAAATTATATACAAAATATCTATGGTTGAAAGTATATTATAACGTACAAAATATTTAGATTTCGGCATTAAATAACCCATAGATGTCGATATGCTACCAAACAAAATCAACCAACATGAAAAAGCTCTTATATGATATAAATCCATATAATATTCTACAAAAAAAAATTAAACTGTATTCCACGCTATAACTTCAGAAAAAACTACAACATATAACACACATATCATGGTCTCTATTAATTATGTCTACACAAACATGTCTATGCACAAAAAATCTGAGTATCCTCTACCATACATTCAATTGTGAAAGCAGAATAACATATATCATATTTTTATTACTTCAAAGCTCACAAGAAAATTAAACTTCGGCATTAAATGACCCATGAGGGTTGATATGCCGTTAAACAAATCAGTCAATCAATCAATAGACCGCTCACACTAAATTCGTTATTGATAGTGCTAATGATAATATTAGCAGTTCAGTGTTAACAAACATTTCATATTCATTGATTGAGAAGTCGGGGGCTAATTTCCTTTAAAATTCATAAAATCTTTCTGTTAAAAACATTTTTCAAGAATATAGGTTTCTCAAGTCCACTAACTGTTATCGCTCTTTCCAGTACTGTCGGTGGCTTCTTTGCAAACGTTTTATTCGAAAGAGTGGACAACGTCAACAGTTTCAGTCTGTGGTTATTTTCTCTTTCAGTTACCCGGGATAACCATTTAATTGCTGCTGTTGTTAAAAGTCCTTAAGTGGTAATATTTCTTTTATTTGGTAGTTTTATTCCTTTATTTGGTAGTTTATTTGTTTGCGATTCTGTAGCGCCAGTCAACGAGATTTGAAGACCTTAGACCCTCGATAAGACCTACATGCTTCACTCGCTCGAAGCTATTTCAGCCGTTGCCCTGAGGCAAATATTGAGTACAACTAAGAGTTTGGATATCTCTGTACGAGTTTGGCGCTATTCATGGCATCCATGTAAAGCCGAGATCTGATGAGGCTATTTATTTATCATTTATTTAAGGACATGACTCGTATTACAACGATGATTTAACTCATAACATATACCAGTTATATTGCTTTGTATAGACAGCTAATTCATGACAATCTACTCTGTGTACATTAAAGAAATTGTTTGGTTTGAAATCCCAGACGGTCAATAGCTATAGAATCCGTGATGTAACAAGTAGTATTTGTTTTTTTAATGTATTCTCAACTTCTATTGTCTCGAGAGTTTACACGTACGGGAATTCGGAAATTCTGGTAATTGAGATGAGTAATGAAAACCGGTTTTATTTTAGCGTCAAAAACAATTGTACCTAGTTCGGAAAACGTGACACCAAAATAAGAAGACTAATTGGAATAGCAGAAGATGCCTTCCAAAATCTCGGCAAAGTATTAAGAAACAGGAAAAAGCCGTTAAAAAAAAAACAAAAAAAAAAAAAAAGATTACTGAAATGTCATGTAATATCGGTCCTCGTATACGGCAGTGAATGCTGGGCAATCTCTCCGCATTTGAAAAATATACTTGAAGCAACGAAAAGGGGTTCTACAGAAGGATACTGAGAATATGATGGACTGAACAGATGAAAAAAAGAAAATGGAAACAAAATGAACACACATACTTAGAATCAGCAAAAAAACTGTTGATATTGCTAGGAAACATAATGAGGATAAAGGGCTTAGAAAATCTAACACTCACAGGACATATTGATGACAAGAGGGACAGATGAAAGCAGCGCATAACCTACCTAACGATCCGCTGTAAATCTTTGGCAGAGCAGGGGCTAGCAGAGATACAAAACAGACAATCTTTACTAGGAGCTAAAAAGGACAGGAAGTTATAGAGCGCCTTTGATTACTCATGTCCTGAAGTGACAAAAACTGGACATTCAAGAAGAATGTGTAAAGCAAGGTTTCAGCCTTATTGCTGCCCACTTATTTTACTAATACTCCTCTTTGCTCATTTTTTCAGTGACAATGATTTTTTTTCTAGCCGTAATAAAAAAAAATATTATTAAACGCTAGCATTTGAATTTTTAATCTATATTGAAAAGAAATTCGTTTAAAAACCCATGACCCTCCTGGTGTCAGTTTAAACTAATAACTTTGATTTTCAATATATTCCGACCATTTTGCTTAAATTTTGTAATAAAAAATCGAAATACAATTGGCTAAATAATAAAAAAGGGAAAGAAAATCATCAATGTCTGAATGGAGGAAATGTCACCAGGAAGATACGAACTAAGCAAGCTTAGTCACTTCATTGGCATACTGTACATGGAATATCAGAAATCGACGTTCAAGAAAAATTAAAGCTTTACAAATACAATGAATAAAGAAATATAGAGAGAATAAGAGAATATAGAAAAAATAAAGGAAGATAGTAAGAATGACGGAATATAAAAAGAAGTGAATAAAGAGAGAATAAATGAAAATAGTGAGAATAAAGGAATATAAAAAGAATGGAATATAGAGAGAATAAGGGAATATATAGAGGAGGGAATATAGAGAGAGTAAGAGAAATAGTGAGAATAAGGGAAATAGTGAGAATAAGGGAATATAGAAAGAATTGAAAATAGAGAGAATAAGGAATATAGTGAGTATAAGGGAGGAATAAAAAGTGAAAAAGGAATAAAGAGAGAATAAGTGAAAATAGTAAGAATAAATGAATATTAAAAAAGAAGGAATATAGAGAGAATAAGGGAATATCCAGAGGAGGGAATACAGAGAATAAGGGAATATAGAGTGAATCAGGGAATATAGTGAGAATAAGGGAATATAGTGAGAATTGAAAATAGAGAGAATAAGGGAAAATAGAGAGAAATAGGAAATTACTGAGAATAATAGAATATATAATAAGGATTTATGGAGAAAATAAAAAGAATACGTAAAATAAAAGATTAAGCGTATTCCATTAATGTAGTTCTCAAGCTATTTCCCCCTGTACTATTTCCGCATATCTCAATATATAAATTTCTTCTTCTTTAAAAAGTGCATCATGAGAACTTTAATTCAGAGAACGGTTCTAAGAGTTTGACTCTGCCAATCTGTGACCCCAATTCTTCCTTGATTCCTAAAATTTCCTTTTTTTTAGAAATAATTCCGTATGTTGCTGGAGTGCCACTTCTCAAATTATATAAGAAAGGCTTTATATTCTATTATCCAAAAAGTTGACAGGTAATAAAATAATACTTACATATTAAAAGATATTTAATCAGTCGACCACTAAAAGTGCATTTGGATTTTGAATCGTGTCCTGAATCGAATTCTGACATCATCTTCATGTTCAAAGAAAAAAATGTCGGAAAAAAATAACGCAAAAAAGAGGAGGAAAAAAGAAAAATGGAAGAGAAGAGAGAGGCAAATAGATGGAAAAAAAAACATGAAGGAACAAAGAGTTGAAAAGGAAGAAAAAAAAAGTAAGAAAAAAAAAAAAGAAAGATGTAAAGAGAAACAAAGAGAAGGAAAAAGGGAACGATATAAGGAAAGAGAAAAAATAGGCGTTAGAATTAAAGTAAAACAAGAAAATGTAAGATCGAAAAAAGAGAAAGCAAATAAAAAAAAAAATGAGCAAAGACATAAAAAGAAATAGAAAAAGAAGAGAAACAAATTAAAAGAACTCAAGAAAAGAAAAAGAAAGAAAGAAAGAACCTGTTGGACAAAAAAGAGAGTTTTAAATGTTGATTTTGAAAATTAGTGTAACGCAGTTTTTCTTCTCTTCTTCCTTACCTCCACCATATTTAAACTTGTTCTGTATTCAGGTAAACTTATTAAAAACCGCTAAAAATCTGTAATACAAATCTCATGTGCCGCTGTCGGTTTCCTCAGGAACTGATCTGCTTGACCCTCATACGTCGAACTCGACGAGAGAGTCGACTATATATATATATATATATATATATATATATATATATATATATATATATATATATTTCCCACTTTTGTTTGACTGTCTTACGTCTTTCACTCTCTCAATCATCTTATCTCTTTCAGGATATATATATATCTCCTTCACCCCCTCCCGCCTGCAATTTAAACCTGCCTCCTCAAAGCACGTGTTCATAAATTAAAAATGATAATATATAATTCTTTTGTCACCCATTTATTTGTATGAAAATGGTCGATCTGAGGAATTAGGATCAGTTTCGATCCTAAAAATTAAATTTATCGTCAAGAAACCTTAAAGTTGTTTCTGTATCTTAATAATAATTTATATATATATATATATATATATATATATATATATATATATATATATATGTGTGTGTGTGTGTGTGTGTGTATATATATATATATATATATAGAGAGAGAGAGAGAGATGATGATGATGATGATGATGATGATGATGATGGTGATGATGGGAGTATGTGGGCGGTGATATAAAAGAAGAAAAATAGAAGCAAAAAACAGAAGACAAAAAGATGAAAGGACAAAATGGAGAGATTAGTGAGAGGGGATGTTTTTGCGTGTATATGGATGCTAGAGAGAGAGAGAGAAAATGGATTATTTGTCTTTGTGTGTGTAGAGAGAGAAAGGGGGAGATAGAGTTTGTACAAACTTGTGGATGAGAGAAAAAAAAGATGACAAAAACAGAGAGAACAAAAAAAACGAAAAGATGAAAAGAGAAAAATTTATCTAAAAAGCGTAATTAAAGAAAAAAAGAAAGAAAGAAAAGAAAGTTAAAGTGTGCGTGTGTATGTTAGAAATAGTTACAGGCAGAAAGTGGATCTATGTGAGAGAGAGAGAGAGAAAAGAAGAAAAAAAAGAAAGCAGAAAGAATATAGAGACAAATAAAAAACAAAAATACAAGGATACGATGAAAATAAAGGCCATTGAGAGAGAAAGAAAGAGAGTGTGTCTGTTTGTGTGCATGGTAGGTGTCTGCGAGAAACAGTGTGTGTGGGGGGGGTTATGTGAGAGAGAAAGAGAGAGGGTAAGATAAAGAAAGTGGCGGTTAATGTGATAAGCATTGGGAAAATAGCAGGAAAAAGAAAGAAAACTTTTAAAAAGAACGCTAAGTGGGGGGAAAAAAGATAAATTTCGTTGACTATTAATTTCTAATAAAAGTGTAGGCAGAACTATATACAGCTATTTAATATGGAGAATAAGCGAAAATACCACTTCACGCGTTAATTGCTAATGTATTTATTTAGTCGGAGGCCGAGATTACAGCCTGGAATGAAATCCGTGACGATCAATTTGGCGAGAATAATTTCTTTCTGTAATCTCTCTTTTCATATATGTTTTCTTTTATGGCTTTGTTTTTGATAGGATCATTAGATTATTATTGTTAATAAAAAGGCGACGATGAAATGCTCGACAAGAATCAAAGCAAATAACTAAAAGCAATAGAGATATTAGCGGAAAATAACTGGCGACCAGGTTGCGCGCGAGAGAAAGGACTGAGATGTCACACCTGTTCTACACGAAGACAAGTATTTAATGATCGAGGAAGGAACCTCTAGTCGGCGTGCAGTTTGAAAACTGATGAGGGACATGAAATGAAAGATGGCTAGTTGGGCGAAGAGAAAAGCAGCCGAAAGAAGAGACGAAAAAGAATGTTAGAAAATCTGGAAACGTAATTAAATCTTCTAGTAATATTGACCTAGTTTTTGGAATTAATTCACTATTTGCAACAATCTTTTCAGGTTCACAATTCGTCTGTGAGTAAATAAATAAAAAATAAATATTAGCTAAATGGATATCTCTATCTAACATTATTTTTAGGATGAGAAACTAAACTAAACTTCTCTTCATTAATCATTTGAGACCACTCTCTGCTTTCCATCAACATGGCTGACACTAACTCCCAAGAAAGTAACTCTTTCCGCCTTCTCTTGCTAACGTTCTCAGCTGAAATAAAGTGGAAAGACTATATTGAAGCCATTGCTAGGTCAGCTGCTAAGAAAGTTGGTTCACTTTTGTTTACGAGACAATTTTCTCTCAGAATCTATCATGCATATCTATAAGTCCATTCTTAGAATATTGCTGCCAAATATGGTTCCATGCCTCTGTTATTAACCTTGAGCTCTTTGAAGAACAGTCAGCAATAATACTGGCTCTGATCTAGCGACTCGGCTTCAGTCACTTTCCCATCGCTGTAAGGTTACCTCCGACTGCCTTTTCTATAAAAACTGGTAATTGTTCAGATGTCCTTTTTCACGATGGTACCTGGACTTTTTTAAATTTAAGCGCAGTACTAGACTGGCCTCGAGATCTCATGAATTTAATGTTGAGAAGGCTAGATAAAACCGTAAATTCCATGCTAACAGCTTCTTTCCCCTCGCTAAGGGAACACCCTTCCGGTTCCATGTTTTACACCCAACTTTAATCTGAAAGAATTTAAATGCAATGCCAATCACTATCTACTATCCTCTTGATTACTCTTTCTTCTTCCTGCTCATTATTAATGTTTCTGTTTCTAATTCTTACACCCCTGTAACATGTTGTGTCTTAGTGGCTTTACTGACTTGAAGTGAGACTCGACTAAATAAAAACAAGAAAGCATTAACCAAATGGAACTCTCTAGCTTTGTAGATTGAAAAATTGTTATCATTACGAGCTACAATTTTACAACTAAAATTATCCATTAATTAATACCTATGCTTTTCATTCGTTCTTTTGCCTGTATCTTCTCATTCACTCCCTTATCCTTACTAAAACAAATAAGATTGTCCATTATATCAGGTCTGTTCTCTTCTCTCCCACTCCGGATGAAACTTCTCAATTTCTCCTTTATCCTTTCCAATAAAATGATAATCTTCAATATGACATAGCTATTCTCATCTCTTATTCTTTGTCTGTAAAAAAGAAAACCTCTTTATCTTTTCCATTACTTATGATTACCACATTACTGAATTCATATAGTACAATAATGAGAAATTAATATAAATTACATATTTTTCTAAAGAAAGGACTAAAAGCAAAACATTTTTAAACTATAGGACTGCTGATGATTCTTATCAGTATTTAAATTTTTCATAATTTTAAAAATTTCATCAATGCAATAAGGAATCCCTGTTAGTAAAAAAAAGAAACACTTAGAATAAAAATATATATTTAAAGTAAACAGTGAATTTTTTTATTAATCTAATTGTTTTAAATTCATATTTCTAGTCATGACACTGAAGGAAAAACTAAATACAGAATAGTTTCTCACATAAAAGACATTCTTCAAAAAATGGAGGGAAGTTTTATTTAATTGTTAATTTTTAAGGAAAAAGGCTACAAAAGCAAATTATGTCCCTAGGTGAGAAGTTTGAGAACTCAAACTTAGAAGAGGCCTACATCTAGTTTAGTTCAAAGTAAGTTGGTTTTTTAACCCTTTTTTGGGGTTTTTTTTTCCCTTTTTTTAAAACAAAAGGGGGTTTTTAAAAAAACCCCCCTTTTTTCCCTTAAATTATTTTAATTTTAAAAAAATTTTTAAAAAAATTTTTAAAAAAAAAGGGTTTTTTTTTTGGTTGGTTTTTTTAAATTTATTTTTTCCCAAAAATTTTAAAAAAAAAAAATTTTTAAATTTTTTTTCCCTTTTTTTATTTTTTAAAAAGGGTTTTTGGAAATTTTTTCCCCCCAAAAAGGGGGGGGTTTTTTTTCATTTTTTTTTCCCCTTTTTATTTTTTTTTTAAAAAAGGGGCCCCAAAGGGGTTTTAAATTTTTTCTTTTCCTTTTTTTAAAATTTAATTTTTTAAAAAAAAAATTTTAAAAATTTTTTTTTGGGGGGGGGTTTTTTTTTTTTTTTTTTTAAAAAAATTTTTTTTTAAATTTAAAAAAAAATTTGGGGAAAGGGGAAATCTTTTTTTTTTGGGGGAATTTGGCCTTTTTTTTTTAAAAAAAGGGGGTTTTAAAAATTTTAAAAAAATTAAAAAAATTTTTTTTGTTTTTTTTTAATTTAATTTTTTTTTAAAAAGGAAACCAAAAACCCAAAAAATTTTTTTTAAAATTTTTTTTTTCCCTTTTTTAATTTTTTTTTTAAAAAAAGGGGGGGGCCCCCCTTTCCCTTTTTTTTTTTGGAAAAAATTTTGGGGTTTTCTTTTTTTAAAAAAGGCCCCCAAAAAAGGGGGTTTTTTTTTAAAATTTGGTTTTTTTTGGGGGTTTTTTAAAAAAAAAAAAAGGGGGTTTTTTTTTCCCCCCGGGCCTTTTTTTTTTTAAAATTTTTTTTAAAAAGGGCCCCCTTCAAAAAGGGGTTTTTTTTGGGGAAAAAATTTGGGGTTTTTTTCCTTTTTTTAAATTTTTTTTTTAAAAAAAAAAACCCCCCCTTTGGCCTTATTTTTTTTTTAAAAAAAAAAGGGGGTTTTGGGGGTTTTTTAAATTTTTTTTTTTTCCCCAAAAAAGGGGGAAAAAGGGGTTTTTTTTTTTTTTTTTTCCTTTCCCAAAGGTTTTTTTTTTCCCTTTGGAAAAAATTTAAATTTTTTTTTTTTTTAAAAAAGGTTTTTTTAAAAAAAATTTTTTTTTTTAAATTTTTTTAAAAAAAATTTTGGGGCCTTTTTTAAATTTTTTTTTGGGGGAAAAGGGTTCCCTTTTTTTTCCAAAAAACCCCCCTTTTTTTTAAAAAAATTTTTTAAAAAAAATTTGAAAATTAATTTTTTTTAAATTTTTTTTTGGGGGGGGGGAAAAAAAAAAAATTTTTTTTTAAAATTTTGGCCAAAAACCTTTTTTTTTTTTTTTCCCCTTTTTTTCCCCCCCTTTTGAACAAAAATTTTTCTTTAAAATGTTTAAATTTTTTTTTCCCCCTTTTTTCCCCGGGGGGAAAAAAATTTTTTAAAAATTTTTCCCCGGGGGCCCTTTTTAAAAATTTTTTTTCCCTTTTTTAAATATGCTTTAATTTAATTGCAAAAATTAAATTACTAAAGTTTTAGTAAAATTTTTACAATTTGAATTTGTTTTAAAAACCCCATTTTAAATGCAATAAAGCCAATATTAATACAAGGGTAAATTTAATATGAGTGAATTTTAAAATAAAAAATAAACAATAAAGAACATGACCGATTTAAGAAGACAGTTCTTAACAATATACATATACAGCAAATTTATATAAACATATATATAATAAGATATATATATTTGTTTTTTTTGGGGGTTTTTTTATGCAGAGACTGAAAAGTAACCTCTGTATTTCAAAATACTGCAGATTTATTAACTATGATTTTACAAAAGAAACATATGAGGAAAGCAATGATGTTTATTTAAAAATTAGATATGGGGCACTGATCTTGCTATATCAGTTTCTGAGTCGACTGTCAACTGATTTTAGAATCCATGAACTTGTATGGAAGATGTAACAGGGGGGGTTTTTGGGGTTTTTTTGGAAAGGGGCCAAAAAATTAATAAAATTTTTTTGGGGTTTTTTTTTTGGTTCTTTTTTTTTTTAAAAAAAAAAAAAAGGGAAAAAAATTTTTAAATTTTTTGTTTTTGGGGGGGCCCCTTTTTTTTTAAAATTTAAAAAAAAGGGGGGAAAAGGGGCCCTTTTTTTTTTTTTTAAATTTTTTTTTTTTAAAAAAAAAAAACCCCCCCTTTTTAAAAAAAAAAATTTTAAAAAAAATTTTTAAAACCTTTTTTTTTTTTTTAAAAAGGGGGGGGTTTTTTAAAAAACCCCTTTGGGTTTTTTTTTTTTTTTTTTTTTTTAAAAAAAAAAAATTTTTTTTAAAAAGGGGAAAATTTTTTTAGAAAAAAATTTTAAAAAAATTTTTTTTGGGGAAAACCGGGGGGAAAAAAAATTTTTTAAAAAAAATTTTTTTTTTTTTTTTCCCCTTTTTTTTCCCTTTAAAAAAAAATTTTAAAACCCCTTTTTTTTTTTAAAAAAGGGGTTTTAAAATTTTTTTTTTTAGGAATTAGGATTTTTTTTTCCAAAAAACCCCCCTTTTTTTTTTTGGGGGGTTTTTTTTTTTTGGGGGAAAAAAAATTTTTTTTTTTCCCAAAAATTTTAAAAGGGGTTTTTTTAATTATTTTTAAAAATTTTTTTTTTAAAACCCCG